TGAAATTCTCTTGCAGGCGGGGTCCGCAGCGTGCCCTCTCTGCATGACCGGGTGGGACGGGTTGATGTGACGGGGATGAGATGGTCCTTCAGGGACTCTGGATCCATGCCATGTATTACCTTAAAAGTAATAACCAACACCCGGAGAAGGTACAACTCCAGGCTACAACAAGAAGGCATTGTTCAATGGAAGGGACCTGGAACATGCAGTCTCTACTAGAGCTGGTGGGGTGGGCAGGAACGATATCAGACAGGCGGTCCCCACAGGTAGCCTGACCCTAGTGCCGTGGAGGGCTTCATAGGTGATGGCAGCACCTTGAATTGAATTCCCCGCCTTGGTGCAGTTACCTCTCCAAGCCTCAGACGTGGGTCCTGAGGGAGGTCTGCTTCCCAACTCCTGAAAATAAGGGAATTCTGGGAGTTGAACTCCACACAGGTTAATGTCACCAAGTTTGAAAAACACTGGGCTAAAACCTGCAGAAATTTGGAAGCTGAGGATCGGAGGTTGCCAAGAATCAAGCGGTCTGCAGGCTTAGTGGGCGTTTTTGGCAGGAGCAGGGCTGCCTTGGCCTTCTGCTGCTTGGGCGAAGAAGCCAACCCGTGTGCCAAAATGAGATGTGCCTCCTTAATAAGGATCTAGCAGTTAGCATTATCTGAAGCTCAGAGACCAGCCAGATGTTCTTAAGGAACTTCCTGGGTCCAGCAGCTGCTGTTGATGCTTCCAGCAAGGAGGTGGAAGGCTGGGAACAAAGCTTGTGTTTTCCTGACAGTCCCACAAAATACAACCCTGCATAGTAGTTCCATTTCAGAGCAAGAGGTGCTAACTGGGTTTACACACTTTAAACCTAGTTTAATCAGCACAATTGCAGTAGTCACGTCACAGGTGAAGCATCAAGAAAGAAGCCATCCTGCTTAATACAGAATTGGTTCTGTAACTTTCTGAATAGCCTAATCCAGCATTTCTCAACTCCCACTTTAAAATGGGTGGACTTCAACTCCCAGAATTCCTCAGCCAGCATGAGGAATCTCATGGCCTAATCTCTAATCTACTCCTAATCTAACACTTTGATTACAACACACGGGCTCTCCTGTGTCCATGAAGCCACCAAGGCTGGAGAGAATCCTTATCTTTTCCTTTTACCTGCATGACTACCCTGTTTTAGGCTAACATGCTGTGTGAACCCCACATTGCTGCAGCCTGCATGCTAAAAACCGTAGCTAGAACATTTATTGTTGGGCTGAAATTACATATTGTACTTCAAACATGGCTGGGGAATTCTGGGAGTTGAAGTCCACATGTGTTAAACTTGCCAAGTTTGACAAACCCTGCCTTAGAGAGGACACCTAGACTGAAGGGCTGGCTGGTGCATGCCCAGACTGATGTAGTGATGATTTTAGGTGGCCACAAAATGTGGTGGTCCTCGTGGACCTTGACTGTAGCAAAACATTTGATAATGTCTCCCACAAGATTCTAGTATCAGCCCCCCAAACTCTTGGTTTTTGCTTTTTAAAATTTTTGTACACCACCCTGGGTCACTTCTAGAGAGGGTGGCAAAGTAAGGCTATTGTCTGCTATTGTTAGGAGGCCACAGAGTTGGAACAGTCACTCCAAACAAGTGAACGTCAATGGCTCTGGGTCACAGAGCATCCCTCCGTTCTTGGCACGGTACCATTCTACAAATGTGTAAAAGGCTGCGTGTACAGATTTGCAGATGACCTAGAGGGGATAACACACACTGTCTCAGGGTTATAAGTGGGAACTGTGGGCAAAAAAACTAGCAAGATATATTTCAGCTGATAGACCCACAAACCTCTATGCTTGGGTAGGAAAAAAGTCAAAGGCGTGAAGATAGGGGAGACCCTATTGGGTGGCAGTAGGGGGGGAAACAATCCAGATGTCTTGGTGGATCACAAGCAGACAGTGTGATACAGCTGTAAAAAGAAAAAAAAGCAAATGCAATTCTAGGCTGCGTCAAGAGAGGTACAGTATAATGTCCAGATCCAGCAAAGTTGTCATTTGCTCTGTTCCACCTTGGTCAGACTCATCTAACATAGGGCTTCCGCTTCCGGGCACCGCATTTAGGAAGAGCACTGACGCTGGAGCAAGTCCAGAGGACAGGAACCCAGATGAAAAGGGGTTGGAAAGGAAAAATTTAGGAGGAATGGTTGGAGGTTTAACTTGGAGAAGACAAGACACAATAGCCACCATGAACAAGACAGGGAGAATTGTTTGGAGTCATTCAGAAGACCAGAGAAGAAACAAGGGGGTTAAATTACAAGGAAGTGGATTTCTGTTGGACATCAGGAAGTGTTTCCTAACGGGAAGAGCTGTTCTAGAGTGGAACAGATGGTGGGCTCTTTCAACAGAGGCTGGATGCCCATCAGTTGGAGATGTAGAAGACGACTCCTGCACTGGATAGCGGGAATGGTTAGATGCAAGTATTAACAGAGTCATTATCTGAACATGTGTTTCTTGTGGTATCTAAGCACAGCTCTGAAGAACTGAAGGAGCTTCATAAGCTTCGGTGGGCCTCTCTGACAGCTCTCCTGCACGTTTTCTGCTGCATCAGAAGCAATTAGCAGCTGGAGCTGATCTGCATCGCTATCACCTTACATCTGGCTTATGGTTGCGTGCCTTTTACATCTGGCAACCACTGGCGTTTTATTCAGAGATAGCATTTTGTAGTTATTGATAAGATAGAGATGCAGTTAGTCTTGGGAGAAAAAGTGTGAGCGACCTTTAAGTGTGTTTCAGATGCTCTGAGGTCCTCCAAGGAGGGTGCAATAAACCCGAATTGAGAACACCCCCACTACTTTTATCATCTTACTCTGCTCTAGATACCTTGCTTCGCTTAGTTCCTCGGCTGTATTTTATAAAGAAAAAAAGTTTATTCAGCAATCTTCAATTCTAAAAGAAGGCGGTACAGAGTCTTCACCGCAGCACCTCTGGATCTGTCATCTGTTCTCGACCACTATAGGATTTCACCATCAGCAAACACTGTCCCCAAAGCAGGATCCCAACTGGACTTGGATTAAGATTTCCTCTCTCTTATTTGGAGGATATCAAAAAGTGGAAAGTTACACCTTCAAGAAGAAACAGGGTTCTTTTTAACCTTTTAGCTAAATGTAAGGTCACTGGGGCAACTGCCACATCTCTTAAGAAGAAAGGTGATTGCTTTTAGATAGTGCCTTCAGCCTAACATAGGCAGAAAAATTGGAGCAGAAAGTTAATTGTTCTCAACCAAATAGATTGAGGCGTTTTCTGTCCATTATTGGTAGAAACTAGATTATTCAGCAGTATATAAGTAGTAAACCAAGGGTCACCTAAAGACGTTATTCCCCTGAAAATGGGCTTTAGGTGTTGGCATGGAAGCCCAAGTTTTGAGTCCACCAGAATCGGAAAGCAGGAAGGGCTGGAAGCCTCAAAAGATGCTGCTGATTAAGCGAGGTGGGTCTGTCCGGCTGCGTGAAGGTGGCAGAAGAGGTGGGTGGAGATGGCCTTTTTCCTGCACAGCTGCCCAGTCCTGGTGACTCCTTGGCAGCGCGGCCTTGGAGAGGCAGAGCAGCTGGACCTGCATTGGGAGAACGGGAGATGACGGTTGCATCCGAGTATCTGCTCAGGATTAAGCAAGCATTCGTTCCACCTTGCAAAGCTCTTCTCCACCAGCACTCGAGGCTGGAGTTCCTCCACCTCAAAAACGTTAAGATGCGTGGACTTCAGCTCCCAGAATTCCCCAGCCAGCCGTGGGCTCAGCTTTCTGGCCCAAGGAGAGCGGCCGCTAAGGAGGACCTGTTACCCCCTGGCTGGGTTCAGACAATACACAAAACCCAGGTTACGAAACAGGCTTTCTGTGCTCACATATCAAGAGATGTGCAAGCAAGTAAACTACACTTCTGATTCTCACAAGATGCCAGAGCACGAGCTGGATTCCCACCAAGAACATTTAACGGCAAGCTACCCCAATTCCCTTTAGCCTAGTCCAGTATGTTGTGTGAATCCAGCCTCTGTATTTGATATACATTCCAATGTACGAGTTCCACTTAGTTATTTTCAGCAATTTCCCTAGCTGTCATGATTGATCACAGCTGATAGAATTGAAGACAGGTGCTCCATCATTTGCTTAGCATGTTGTGTGAATCATGGTTTATAGCTTAACTCAAACTTGCACAGCTTTCTTTTTGGCCAAGAGCAGACCCAACATTCAAGCTACACTCCAAACGGGAATGCAGCCACGTAAAGAAATTAAGAGGACGGGGATAAAAACATGCATTGTGTGAGCCCAGCCATCCATTGTTTGACCAAATCAGG